AAAAAAAAAAAAAATACTACAGGTACAATGAACTAGAAGGAAGACCCGTGGTATCTAAGATGTGCTATAGTGCCTACTGCATATTATCTGCACATATTTTTTGCTTTTTTTTTGAGACAGAGCTTCAAACTGTCTCCCTGGGTAGAATACTATGGCATCACAGCTCACAGCAACCTCCAACTTCTGGGCTCAAGTGAGTCTCTTGCCTCTACCTCCCAAGTAGCTGAGACCACAGGTGCCCGCCACAGCACCCGGCTATTTTTTGGTTGCAACCATCATTGTTGTTTGGTGGGCTCGGGCTGGATTTGAACCCACCACCTTAAGTGCATGTGGCTGGCGCCTTAGCCACTTGAGCTACAGGTGCTGAGCCATATTTTTTGCTTTTATACATTGATTTGAATATTTTTTTTCTTTTTTGAGTGTCTCACTTTGTTACACCTGCTAAAGTGCAGTGGTGCCACCATAACTCACAGCAATCTCAAACTCCTGGGCTCAAGAAATCCTCTTGCAGCTTGGTGCCCTTCGTGGTTAGGGCACTGGCCACTTGCACTGGGGTTGACGGGATGAACCTGGCTAGGGCCTGCTAAACAAAAACAACAATAACAAAAAAACAGTTGTGCATTGTGGCGGGAGCCTGTAGTCCCAGCTATTCGGGAGGCTGAGGCAAGAGAATCACCTAGGCCCAGGAGTTGGAGGTTGCTGTGAGCTGTGACGTGACAGCACTCTACTGAGGGCAATAAAGGAAATCCTCTTTTTCAGCCTCCCAGGTAGCTGAGACTATAGATGCCCGCCACAATACCTGGCCAATATTTTCTTTTCTTTTCTTTCTTTTTTTTTTTGCAGTTTTTCGCTGGGGCCAGGTTTGAACACACCACCTCCGGCATGTGAGGCTGGCGCCCCACTCCCTTGAGCCACAGGCACCACCCAATATTTTCTATTTTTAATAGAGATGGGGGTCTCACTCTTGCTCAGTCTGGTCTCAAACTCCTAAGCCCAAGAGATCTTCTGGCCTCAGCCTCTCAGAGTGCTGAGATCACAGGTTCAAGGCACTGGGCCAGCCCCCTTTTTTCATTTTAGTAATGTGATGTGGAGATTGTTTCACATGAGCACGTGGAGAGCAACTTCATTCTTTTCAGTGGTACTGTATTTTAACTACTTCCTGCAGATAGATATTTAGCTTGTTCTCAGAGTTTTGTTATTATAAACAGTGCCCCAACAAATATCCTTCCACAGTGCACATTTAGCTGTGGCATAAATGTCTAGACAAAGAATTGCTGGGAAAAACAGTATAATCTTATAAAAGTATGATTGGTATTATTAAATTTCCTTCCAAAGAGGTGCACTGTTTTTATTCCCAGCAACAAGGTGTATGAAGGCTTACTTCTCAAGCTGAGAATAACTCAATATATCTCTATCAGCCTGAAGGATAAAAAATGGTGTCTCACTGATTTGATTTACATTTAATGTAAGATTAAAGTTTGTTTTGAACGTTTTGAACCAAATTTTCCTCTGAATTACAGAAAAAGTCATCTATGAATCTGAAATAGGCACAGATACAAACTAGAAGGCGATAAGTAGATAACAAATTCAGAACAAAAGCTGGTGACTACTACCCCACAATCAGGATAGCAACAGTGTTTCAATTTCTGCAGGGTGCCACCTTCACTAGGAAACAGGTAGCATTTGGGAGTTGTGAATTACAAGAATGTGTGGTATGCTTGAGCCTTCCTGAGGACAGAGAAATCCAGAGATAGATACGGAGAGTCAAGGAGGGTAACAGTAAGAAAAAAGAATTTAAGGACTATCTAGTTTGGGAGAGGCTTACAAAAATCAGCATTTTGGTACCGTATTTACTGCTATTCCTGCATTTCATTACCTAGCAGGGATCCCTCCCTTAAAAGTGTGCTGGGTGTAGCTGAGGAGTGTCACTGGCATTGAACTCCTCTTGTGAGACTTTTTTGGAGAAAATGAGAGTATCCTGCGAGACTTGCTCTGTTCACAAATTATTCATCTCCTAACTCAACCTCATCACTTATTTTGAGGAACTGATGAGCAAGACAGGAATGCGTACGTTCGCCCATAAGATCCTCAAATCAGGCTGGTCAGTGTTTGACATGGACCTTGAATCACATAGAAGATATTCCAAAGGTAGAGAAAAATATAAGGCCTCCCGATGCTCTGAAAAAAAAAAAA